CAGTATCACGCACAAAAGAACAAAAACAAAACAGACTCACCTGAAACCGCCGGGGAGGAATTGGTCGCCGTCGTGGGTGGTGGCGGGGGAAGGGCGGGGATGGCGGAGGAAGGAGGCGGAGCAGGTGGAAGAGCAACAAGGGGAGTAGGGGTAGTATGGGAAATAACAGGTCTTTGCGAGAACTTCCTCTGGACGACGTCGTTTAAGGCTTGATAAACCTCAAACGCCATATTGGAAGGAAGATTGTTGTCCTTACGCTCGTGTTTCTCCATTTTCCAGTAAGAGGGAATTTGGGATTGTTGGTCACACGCGCGGGATTCGTACTCGCGGACTTTTTTGTAGTCGCGGAGGAGGTTATCCCACTTGTCGTTGCACTGATTTTGGCTGCGGTGACATCCGTGGCTCCAGCAGTAGTTTTCAACCCATTTCCACCGTAGTTCACCGCCCTTTCTGGCTGTTGGATCCGCCGGAGGAGCTAAGGTTACCTTGTTCCGCCGCTCGTCGTCTAGCTTTTTGGCGGTTATTAGAATCATTGTCTCTTGGAGAGTCCAGTTTCCTTTGCGGTACTCTCGGACTATTACTGTGGAGGAGGAGGTTGCTGCTGCTGTGTTGATTCGGGCGGCGCCGCCATGGATTAGCGGCAAATGTAGGAGTTGTTGTTGTTGTTGTTGTTGGTGGTGGTGGGGGTGGTGGTGGTGGTGGGTGGGGTGGGGGTGGTGCTGCTGCTGATGCGGTGGCTCCGATGATGTTGTCGGAGGATCCGACATGGCTTTGGCATCTCAGAGACTCTCAATGGATAGAGAAATAGAAAGAGAAGAGGCGAAAACTTTTTCTTTACTTTTTCTCTCTCTCTTTCCTTCTGTCTTATTATTATTAGTTTTTTTTTTTTTTTTTTTTTTTTAATGTTGAGTATTAGAAGTAAATAACTCCAATGCTACTCGAGAAAATAAAAAAATACATTATGTTTTATTCTTCCTCCTTAAAATAAATATCAAAATGTTCGGGATGATTCTAGAGTTACCTATGAATTAGTCTCACGAGTGAATAGAAAGTTGGATCTACATTGAATCTTATCTAAATCGACTCATCTATCCTCTTAAGGAGAAGTTTGGTTTCAAATTCCGATTCAAAAGAGAGAACTACGTCATATTAATGTGTCTTGGATGATCCACATCTCAGGGTGCGCTAATGAGTACATTGAACTATTCATGTGGCTGAGAGCCCTCATATCCCAAGCACTATCACTGAGTTAATAGTTAGTCGTGCGGGCCTCTCGCTGGGCCCACTATACAAAAAGCGAGAGAAACTCCATCCCTCTCTTTCCTTTTTTCATCCTCATGTCGCCACACGAGAGGGATATGAGGATGTATAAAAGGGGACCCTATTAACTTGTTCCGACCTAGGATAATAAGATCATGAACTTAGTCTTATTGATTTGATTTAATTTATTTTTTACCGACTCAAATTTTGAGTTGTTTGGATCGAATAGATTTCACAATTCTACTTCATCTAACCCTCTATATTTCGAGTTAATTATTATTATTTTTAAATATTTAAAAAAATTCATAACTTAAATTTTATAAAACTCAAATATTAAATATTTGTAATTCTTGAAAAATATAAATTCACCAATTGACCCAAATTTTTTTCAGTTTCTAAAAAATTAATTCCAATCCAAATTAAAAAAAAAAAAAAAAAAAGGTTAGAATGATGAATGATTAGAGAAGGAAAGGTAAAATAGTGCCACGTGGAGAGAGGAGAGTGGGTCCACCAGAAAGCTTCACGTGGCGTGATTTCATTATGGGTAGTTTACAGTAACAAGAGATCCTTCCAATACCCAATCAATTGCGAATTTTGAAGATATATTATAAACGGACGTCCCTTTCAATTTCTCGCGATATCATTTTTTCAATTTCTCTTTCGTCAATGTGCTGTTTCCTTCATGGGGGCAGCCTTCAACTCTTTTTTTTTTTTTTTTTTTTTTTTTTTTTTTTTTTTTTTTTTNTTTATTTATTATTATTACTATTATTATTATTTTTATAAAAATTGATGATACAATCTTAGAGTATATGTTATAGATACTAGAGGACAAGTGGATATTAAACTATATTTTTTATCAATTAAAATTATCACACTTTAAAAATAAATAAATAAATAAATTTTTCTCCCAAAACTTTTAATAAATTAATTGTAGAATTTTTGGTGTTTAAATTTTTAATTTTGTGTATAATATTATTTATGGAATATAAAATCAAACACTCAAAATTTATTACAAAAAATTGTATATACAAAATATTGAATATTAAAATTTAACTAATTATTAAATATAAAAGATTAAATTAATAATACCTTAATTTTTTTTTAAGAATTTATTAATGCCTTATTTTTAAAATATCTTTAAGCTTTCAATAATGCTTTAGAAATATTTTAAAACTATAATTAAAAAATTCGAAAATCTTTAATTTTTATAAAAATAAAATTAAAAAATTTATTATCGTCAAATATATGAACAAAAAATCATTTAATAGAGATTTATAGTTTAGTTTACTTTTTAATTTTTTTGAAGTTTTTTAAAATTTAAAGGGTTCTTGAAATTCTTTAAAAAAGAAAAAATGTTAAAAGTATTAATAATTTTTTTTGAAAATTTATAGGTATTTTTGAAATATTTTTTAAAGTAAAAGGATAAGAGTTCAAGGGTAATCGAGGTTGTCCTTTTAGACTTTTTCTTTTGAACTTCTTTTTAAGGTTTTTAAAATATGTTTGAGGCTGAGATTTCTATGCCCTTATAAACAATGATTTGTTCTTCTAATAAAAACGTTGAATATTGAAAAGTGGCCCCCACCATGGAGTTTGAAAATGTCGGCTCTGACGTGGCATGTGTTCAAAAGTTCTCCATCATAATTGAAGAAGCCCATCCATGTCAGGCTCCATTTACTTGGCATCCCTTAATATTTTTTTAAATTTTAAATGGTTTTATGGCTAAACTTATTTCTTAATACAATTTTTAAATTAGGCATGGGTGAAAATGATATTGATTTTTTTTTTTTTTTTTTTTTTGTAGCCAATAACATTAATTCATATTCATTTTCTAGCATAATTACTTCTTATACATTTGTAGGTACACTTTTAACATATGAAATTTGGCGTCAATCGGATACTCAATAGACGCTATATGGAGTCGTATGATCGCTCGTCAAAATGACGTTTACTTTAAAAAGATTGGAAATGCCTTAAAATTTACTATAGGGGATGCATGGTGTCAGTTCTCTACCACTACAAAGCCCTGCGGCCTAAGCGAGCTACTACATGACACATATGTGTGTCACATTGTGGACGAGCATCTGGGTGTCTTCCTTTGAAAAGGGTCTTTCAAGGTCAGTATTGGACGACACGGGTGTGTCGGTATTGTGCCCTAGCTCGTGTTTCAGAGGTTAAATTATGCACCTGCTATCCAAAATGGATGCTGCTAATGGTTTAGCATGAACACGAGAGAGTCCAATGCCCAATGAGAACTTGAATGGAAGAATGTTCGGGATGTCTTGATGAGATGATTGACACATGGGTCAGTTTCCAATGAATGTGTTCCAGCAAGTCAAGATGGTTGAGCTGTCTTGAGACATGAGATGTTATCATGATGAATGGGTCATGTTGTTGGGAACCGAAATGATGACGAGATGCAACGTGGCTTACAAGAGACCTTAGCCTAGAGTATATGCAAGGTTGAATCAGATGACTTGATTTAGTGTAGAGGCATGTCGACTAGAGCTGCACACGATTGAGCATGCACGCACGAGTGGCGTGTGTGGTCAAACAAATATGTATTTCACACAAGTTGTGTTCGGTTAGCGAAGGAAAACCTCGTCGAAGGTCCGACGAAGCCTCAACGCTAGAAGAAAAATATGAATGGGGCTTGAGTTCTCATTTATGGCTTGTTGTGAGCATGCCAAGATCACGATGTCACACAGTTGAAGAAGTACGATCATGACACCTTTCATCATGTCTTACTAGTAGGATGTCATGACCATGTTATGCACCCACCATGTGACCACATCGGTCTTTCATGAGAATAATCGAGGGCCACTTTAGGGGTAGCAACCAAGTTGACCATATGTCATGAAATAAGTCAAGGTATATGTTTAGTCCTTAGTTACTCAAGAAAATATAGTACCTTAGCTCATGGACACGATAAAGAGCATATAAGTAGGCTACTTACTCCGTCTTTGTTCTCACGTCCATGTTTTTCATGTAACTAAGAGCTAGTTGAGCATGTTTTTCCATGTTTTTGTTTTGTTTTAAAATGTTTTTTAGTCCGTTCTTTATTTTGTTTTTAAACTATGTAGGTAAAAACCCTAATTTGATATAACGTAAATATATGCATGTACTTATTTTTTAAAATGCCTCATTTTTATTTTACAAATTTTTTTACCGTGTTTTCAAATTACGATCCGTACTTTGAAAACCTTCGAAAATTAAGTCGTGACAAATAGATAGTATATGGACCTTGAATACTATGATTAGTTCACGGAAAGTGAACTTGTATTCCAACTCTAATCATTAAGTACAATTGGATGAACTGTGATGTAAGAAGAGAAACCGAAACCTTTTAAAACATGATCACACTAACAGTGAGTTGCACGTCATTATCAAGCCCTAGTTAGAGTATCTATCGATAACGATTTTAGTTAGATTTTAGGGGTTTTGTGAAGGAAATTAACTCTTCATCCACATCGCGTAAGTATTAGAAATTGTTTTGATTTTTATTCAGAATTAAAACAAAAACACTAAACTCAAGAGTAAGACCCCTAGCTTGCAAGTTCTTAAAGTTTTCCAACCATGCAAAAGCTATTCAACATTCCACGAGATCTTTCTTACTATGACTCAAACACAAGATCAAAGCTTGTGGGAGCCTCTTGAAAGAAAATCTTTAAAGGATTGGAGAAGAATAGTTTCGAGAATTTTTTGGAGATTAATTTCATTCTCCCGAGAAAGTGGGAGAGATTGGTGTATGTTTAGCTCAACCCAAGAGTCCTATTTATACGGACTCTTGGAAAATATTTGTCAAATAATATACTTGCATATTTAATATATTAAGATATTAAGATATTTAAATATATTTTTATTTAATGTAAATAGATTTAATATTTAATTATATCAAATACACATATAGGTTAAATATTAATTTGAAACTCCAAATTAATATATTTTTTTCTATTTATATTTAACCAATCTAATATATTAAATATTAATTTCAACCCTTCAAATTAAATATATTTTCTATATTTATTTAATATATCAATCTTTATATTTAATATATCTAATATATTAAATATCAATTTTAACGCTTCAAATTTTCTTTCAAATAAATTGAATCTTTTGTTTATTATGGGCTAGCAAGTGACCTTATGGACCTACCGATTACAAGCTCCAATTATACAAAATTAATTAATTAAACTCTTTAATTAATCAATTTCCATTTATTAACTATAGGTCACTCTACTATAGACCTAGAGTTGCACTCTTATGCATTGCATGACAAGTTATGTTCATTGATATAATCATTACAAGCAAATCGATACTTCACAAGTTGTTCATAATTACAGCTGGGCCAAAAGCCCGTTTTACCCCTGCCACTAATTCTCTAATGAACAATTTGTTTATGATCCAATTATAAATCAAGTCCCTCTCGGGCCAATGAGAAGGTGGGGCCCATTGTTCAAGTCTCGAAATCAGTACTTAAGAGAACAACTCATCTACTTTCCTTATATGGAAAAGAGTGAATTTCATCTCATCATATTATGTTCCCAACTCCTATTGGGTCAAGCCCCCAAAATCGTAGGC